CCTCACTAGAGTCCGTCTGGCGTCCCCACCCCTTTTCTCTGTATCCCCTATAGCCCCACGGTACCCGATGGGTGTTTAGGCTTTGATAGCTGGAGTATATAAAAAATATGCAAACTGTAACTCAGAAATCGTTGATCGCAGAACTTCCCGAATTTGAATTGTTTTAGTTGTGATGGTATATTTCAATTTCAGCCAGTTTGTTGATTCTCTATAATTTTGCTGTAGTGCCTTTTGAATTCGATATCCATTTAAAGCATGAAAACTGTATAATTGAGTTAATATATATTTTTAGCAAAACATATCCCGAAATTCGGATTAATTCACGAATTTGTTTATGAATCATTATTATTGTTATATAATTCTGATATTTCTAAATAAAGCATACTGTCGCATTAAACGAAATATGCCAACCAGTTATAATGTACCCCGATGCAATTAATCCAATTAGCTAGAAATTACAGAGTGAAAGGTATGTACGTCCATTATAAACGAATATAACTGTTAAGTTCTGTATGTCAATTTGTGTGCATTATAAATCGAGTCCATCTGGCCACAGGAGCGGAGGCTGAACTTGGGCAGCAACTAGCCAGAAATAATATAATAGATCTGCATAATGATGTTATAACAATGAACGCGTATGCTATTTGAATTGCTTAGGTCAAGATTTCACTAGGCTTGTGTAAAGCGTTTAAACTAGGCTATTTTATACATCACAGAGGGCTAATATATCAGATTAAATCCAATCTCCCTTATTGAGCTAAATCTTAGTAAGTAGTAGTGGGGGGATGCAAAACCTGGCAACTAGGCCACCTTTGACACTTTTTGCCAATCCTGTAGTACCAACACTGAACTTACTTACTCCACGAGCCATCTACTGGTAACTGATATAATAAGCCAGCTCCAGTGAGGAGATGTACCTATTGCAAACACTGCACTCACGTGCGTGATATAGGCAACACACAACACAACATCTGTGGCTCGGAATTAAACATTTGAGGAGAGATTCGAGGCCGCGTGTCCCGGGCTGCTATCTCGACAAGCTAACTATCGAGCTACCGAGGCTCCTCTAGCTACATTTTGAATAACTTGCTGCATATCTGCGAGGCTATAAATTGAATCATCCATTGAGTCATATCAAAAACCATCCTACTCACAATGTTTCATTTTCTTTTTTGACGGAAGCGCTTTCTTGAAAGTAGGTGCGTATTTAGGTATAATCCAAGGAAATCAATACATTCATTCCCTTGCAAATAATATGGCGTGAAACATGTTTATTGGAAAAACAACAGAAGTGACATGTTGTCTTTGCGTGCGTAATCCGAGAGTGGGTAATTTTAAAAACTCTATCGAGATACTTAATTTTTCTTTTCACAGTAAATCGCGAACTATTATTAGAAACATTGGAGAGAATTGGTTTTAGAGGAGAAGCATACCCACTGATCGAAAATTATCTATCAAACCACCCACAGTCTGTCCAGATATCAAGATCACTGAGCAAGGAACTGTATATTAAGTGTGGTGTCCCTCAAGGAACAGTCTTAGGTCCACCGTTATTTAATATATATTTAAACGGTATATTTCAAATTAATTTTGTTGGCAATAGAACCAGTTTTGCAGATGATACTGCAATATTATGAGTATATGAAGGCACTGACTGGTATGATCTAAAAATGTAACTGAAAATGATTTTGTCAAAATTATTCGGTGGTTTAATAGCAGAAAATTAGGTATTAACTATTCTAAAACTCATTTTTTTCCATTTGCATCTTGTGTTAGACTTTTGCCAAATTACACAAATTAATAGAGTGCCAAACGTAACATAGCTTTGAATAGTATTGGATCCTCACTTACGTAGGGACATCCATGTCAGTTATATTTTAAAGAAAGAAAGACACAAAATATTTTCGTACATTAGGTACATACACTATTGAAGCCTCATCTCACATATGGTATATTAGCATGGGGACCTGCATGTTTATCACATATCTATAAAAATGTATGATATAAGACGGCTTTATTTCTTACACAGTACCACTCACTACCATAAATTTGTCGACACCGACCAAAAAATTAAACATATTATTATACAAGGTACAAAATTTGTAGCACAGCAGTTCCTCAGCCACATAAATCTATAATGCAGCGGTATCTCTATTACCTGAAGATTTAAAAGATTTACATTTCGGAAATCATGTCAAAAGAAATTTGAAAAATGCTACATCTAGGACTAAAATCCATGAACTCATAAATACGAAAATCAAGTAAATACATAATCTAGTGTGACTAGTTTTTGCCCGTTTTGTAATTTGTACTTTACAGTTGCAACTTAAAATTATTGGTTCATGTACAGGCGATGCCTCCTATAATGGCTGTCTTTATTCTATATTTATTTACCCATGTTGTTTTCTTTGTAAATTGAAATAAATAACTATTATTATTATATCGATTGCTACATGCACCAAAATATAAGTTTTAGATTCCCTACCTACAAAAATAAGGTTAAGGGTGAATACCGTATATACTTTGCCTTCCCTGAAATCACTACTTATTTCTGATATCCTACCAAAATCATTATCATTGACTCAGTCATATGACTAAGAATATGCTTTAAATAAAGGCTAAATAGTTTAAAAAGCTGTTCGTTTAGATATACTAAGTGACATATAAATCCGAACACCCAGTTTAAATGGTTTTAACAAAAGTTGGTGAATGTATTTATCTTACTGTAAGTAACAAGTGAAAAAATGTTCAGCCTTATCAGTTGGACATTCCGGTTTTTATACTGCTTTTTTTTAATTCACTAATGCTCTAAAAATGAATATTTCAGCCGCAGTAAAGAATCAACGTTGGCGGATTTTGGTTCTTGACATTCTTTACCATCGGTTACGATGCCTAGAGTACGGAGCCCTGTACGATTTCGTCAACTTAGTGAGTTTGATAGGGGCCGTATAGTGGGACTTCGGGAAGCTGGACCTTCTTTTCGGGCAATTGCAGTTAGAGTGCAAAGAAGTGTAGACACTGTGGTTAGGTGTTGTCAGGCATGGCTTCGAGAAGGCCGTACGCAAAGGGCAAGGGGCACTGGACGCCGCCGTAGAACAACAGACCGTGAAGATCGCCGCCTAAGATTATTGGCCTTAAGGGACCGTTTCTCCACTACCAGGTCCATTGCAAATGAATGGTTTGCAGAACACGGAAGACCTATTGGCATGCGAAGTGTTTACCGACGAATGAGAAGTTTTGTCTTGTTTTCATACCGACCACACTGGGTCCTCCCTTTAACTCGAGAACACCGACGTAATCGCATTGAGTGGTGCAGACAACGGTCACTCTGGGATCAGGAATGGAACAGTATTGTCTTTAGTGACGAGTCTCGATTTTGTTTAGGCATGCACGATGGTCGTGCCAGGGTTAGAAGGCGACGTGGTGAAAGGAGGAATCCACAGTTTTTAGTTGAAAGACATGTTCATCACACTGTTGGAGTTATGGTTTGGGGTGATATAGCTTATGGTTCCAGGTCACCTTTAATCTTCATCAGAGGTAACATGAACGCGCAGCGTTATATCCACGAAGTTCTAGAACCCCATCTTTTACCCTATCTTGACACCCTGGCAGATCCAACTTTCCAACAAGATAATGCCCGACCACATGTTGCAAGAGTCACAATAGACTTCTTTCAACATAATGATGTCACATTGTTACCATGGCCACCAAGATCTCCCGACTTATCCCCAATTGAGCACGTGTGGGATATGATGGGTAGGAGATTGCTCAATTTGCAACGTCCTCCTCAGACTCTAGAAGCACTTCGAGAGGAGTTGGTGGTTGCCTGGAATGAGATACCACAGGAGGACATTGACCACCTGATCAGAAGCATGCCTAGGCGCGTTGGAGAATGCGTAGCACATCAGGGTGCATCCACACATTATTAAAGGTCAAAGGGCTTTAAAGCAGTGCAATCATTTTTAAATTTTTATCATTTACTTATTATGCTTCATTAAGTACTTATACAAAATTTTATTAAAATAAAACCATTTAAACTGGGTGTTCGGATTTATATGTCACTTAGTATAGTATAAAATGGAATTACACACACAACAGGTATTTTCCAAAACCATTTTTTTGTTAAAAAAATATGAGATATAAGTCTGTACTTTTTCGAAATGGACGATTCATGGATGTAAAACGGAAAATTCGATCTTAAAGATTATTCGACATTTCAATCTTCCACAACGCAAATACTATATTAATCCCAAAGGAGTTCTTTAAAACTGGTTTATTTGTCAATTATACCGTTTTAAGTGTCTCCTAGAAGATTCAAACTTTGTGACTTACGAGGTTTTTGAACTGACCGATTCAATTCTAGTGGTAGTTCATGAAAATCAAACTTGGAATATTGAAACAAGGATTTTTTTATTTCGACGTCACTTCTGCCCTTTTTTACCCTATATAGCCCAAGATTCGGTATCTGAAGGCAGCTCTTTTTATTTAAACTTTTAATGAATGAAACATGATATCAGAAAAGCAGGACTGCCTGAGAAAAAATGATCTTGATTACCATTTATTGAATTTATTGTAATTATTTTTTGTTACTAAATCCCAGAAACATGTTTTGTATAAGAATACTTACAAATTCGAGTTGCTAGATCTAGTGCTAATATTGCTTTTACATACTATTCAGTGTCCGCAAGCTTAAACTTCAAGCAATTGGTAATCTAATATGCTTCAAAAGACTAGTATTGACATTTTCAACCTATACAGTGGTCACCGACCCATCGATCGCGAGCTACCGGTAGCTCGCAAAGGCAATCCTGGTGGCTCACGGCATATTTTAAAAAGGTGTAAAAATCATAGAAGCTTCCGTAAACTTTGTAAATTCTCATAATAAATACAAGCAGCGGCAACGATGCGGGGAGCGATCTGTTCGAGAACGATCTCGATCACTTTGAATGGAATAAATACGCAAGGCGCGACAACAGTGCGTTCAGTTTAAACCAGACCGGCACACAGTCCAGCGGTTGGCTTAAAGTTGGCCTGCAATTAAAAACATTATGAGCAGTAGTAAGAAGATGAAGACATACATTCGGAATGGGAAGAACAATATTTCTTTACAGCAGTTTAAGGTTAAAATGTATATTTGTTATGTAATACATCTGTTTCCGTTACTAAAAAAGAGAGTATCAACAATCAACAAAAGTAATTCTGCAACTGAAGCATCATACCGGGTGTTCCAGATAATTACACAAAAGAAGAAACCTTATGAAGACAGGAAAATAATAAAACAGGCGATTTTAGAAGCTGCAGATTCATTATTAAATATATGCAAATTTTTGCTAAAACAGTGATGAAACGAGTAGAAGTAATGAGCAATGGTATAGTTTTACAGTTAAGAAATGACTTCGATAACTGTGCTTATTTTTTACTTCAGCTGGATGAATCCACAGATGTCGTTGACACCTCTCAGATGTCCGTGTTCATCAGGATGGTTTTTAGTGATTTTACGATTAAAGATCTTTTGAAGTTTATTCCAATAAAATGATAGAGTACTGGCACGTCTTGTTTTTTTCTTTTAAAAATATTATTTCTTCTGAGAAAATTCCAATATCGAAAATGGTAGGCTGGACAACTGATGGCGCTCCAGCTATGGTGGGTCGTGATAAGGGTCTCGTGGGGTTATGTCGTAAAGATGAAAGTTTTCCGCAATTTATATGTTACCAATGCATTATCCATCAGCAAGCATAATGTGAACATTTTCTAAAACTAAACAACGTTATGAAATTTGTAGTAAAAATTGTGAACATGATTAGAGCTCAAGTGTTACAAAGGAGATTATTCAAAACCTTCGCCGATGAAATTGACTGTCAATACGGGGAACTTATTCATTGTGAAGTCCGATGGTTAAGTAGGGGACGAGTGCTGAAACGTTTTAATGATATATCTGCCATAGTTCAATTTTTCAAACAACGTGATGATCCAATTGCGCAACTGGAAAATTCAATCTGGCTCAGAGAGTTTGGTTTTCTTGTGGATATTACCAAAAAATCAAATGAACTTAATTTACAGCTTCAGGCGAGAGACAAGGAACTAGCAGAAATGATTTCTGATACAAAATCGTTTATCAAAAAGCTTTAGTTTTGGGAACAAAACTTAGTCGATGGAGATACCAGGCATTTTCCTGTTCAGATGAACATTTGGATAATTGTATTCGAATGGCGGTATCAAATCATACTCCAAATATTAAAAAAATTGTCAGTGAGTCTTAGTGTTAGGCATCTCATTGAACACGCATTTTTTCTAGACATGTTTTTGTTTGAAATAGTGCGTTGCTTTGTTATTTTTAGTTACCTCTATTAAATTGTATGTGACATGCCATTGTAGCTGATGGAAAATTTGGTTTATTTCTCAAATACCTAGGGTTGGTAGGAATGGATGTAGATATGTAGTATGTATTAATTACACTGGTCAACAAAATTTTAACTTTGTCGTGCCACACGGACTTTTTTGATATCTTTTACTTTAATAGGTGATTGTAAGAAAAAATAAACAGTTAAAAAAAATTTGCTAGACAAGGATTTTATTCTATTGAGTAATTTAAAATATTAAGAAAAAACACAGATCTCGTAAATCAAAAGTTATTTTTTTTATAAATGACTTAATAATCTAAGATTTTCTTGAATATTTAGCTTCTGATTGGTCCCTTTTAATTGTCCAGCAGTAATCTGCTAACATATTTGGGCTCCATTTGCCATGGTACCGCTTTTCCATATTAGAAATGGAACCTCTCACCGTGCTCGTCGCTGACAGCCCCTAAATTGTCAGGAAAAAAATCCAGGTGCGAGTCTAAAAAATGGATCTTAAGTGACATGTTGCAACCCAATGCTTGATATGACAATAATAGCTCGCTAACCAACTCTCTGTAGCTGTCACTCTTGTGGTAACCCAAAAAATTTGCAACAACATTTTTAAAATGTTTCTAAATCGCTTAATTTTTCTTCAAATCTTGAATCTTTTATTAACTCCCTAATTTGAGGGCCAACAAAAATACCCTCTTTTATCTTTGCATCACTTATTTTAGGGAATTTTTCTTTTAGATACAAAAATCCACTCCCATTGCGATCCATTGCCTTCACAAAAATTTTTATTAATCCTAATTTGATATGCAATGGTGGTAGAAGCACATTATTTGGCTGTATAAGGGGTAAATACTACTAGCAGCAAAACTTTGTATAACCCAGCTGAAGTCCAAGTAATAGTGCAACAACTTTAAGATCACCGAAGATTTTGAAGGAATATGTACTGTAATTTATTTTTTCAAGTAAAAGTTTCATATTTTCATAGGTTTCTTTCATATTTGCAGCATGGGCCAGAGGTACAGACGGAAGCTTATTTCCATTATGCAATAACACTGCTTTTAGACTTGCTTTCGAAGAATCAATGAATAAACGCCACTGAGAGAGATCAAAATCTATGTCCAACATTTTCATAATCTCATTTATGTTACTGCAAAACACCAAATCTCCATCCTGAGAAAAATACGTTCTGAAGTGTTGATCACGGTTTCGAAAATAGCTAACTTTTGTATTATGATGTAGCAAATTCCCTTCTTTTAGACGTGATCCTAATAGTTCTGACTGCTTTTTTGACAACTTTAAATCCCGAACCAAATCATTTAGGTCTCCTTGAGTTATCAAATGTGGCTCGTTTACAATTCCTTTTAACTCAAAGTCATCGTCCTCGTCAACACATTCACCTGAAGTGGACGGTTGTGAATTGTTCTCAACAGACGTAGTTGCAACTGGTATTAGTTCTGGCAATTTTTTACAATGAGAGACTGGTCTTATAGCCGAAGATAAGTTAGGGTAAATAACTGTGGTTTTTGTCTGTGAGACAAAAATAGCAATCTGAAACGTGATCTCGCTGTTCAGTCCATATCATGGGTACAGCAAACGGCATAGGTCGTGCACCTTTCTTCCAGTCAGTTAAATTTTTCACACACGTTATGCAACAGACATGAGGGGCCCAGGATTTGTCTTGATGGGCGACAGAAAAACCAGAACATTGGTGATAACACTCCAACACAAGATTCGTAAAATTTCGGATCATTATTACACTTCCTCGACATTTTCACAGGGTTAATAAATCACAAAAAGTGTTCAAATTCAACAACAAATATTTTTATAAGGACTTACTTGTAAGCGTTTCTGTTAATTTACTGCCGTAGTACTAGTTATGAGTATTACCGTATCACAACAAATATGAGGCTAATAGACATATGACAGCTGTCATGTAATGATGAGGGTAGACTGATAAAACAAAATTAGCTGTCAAAGTTCGTGTGGCAAAACCAGTGTTGACCAGTGTTATTAGTTTATTTAAGTTTATTAGTATGTATTAGTATTAATAAAATAAACACATGTATGTTTCATACAACTGTGTTTAATTTCATTTAAGTTCGCTTACATTGCTTACGACTAGGTATTCCAAAATTATCAAAGTAGGTCAACACACTGAAATGGTCGGCACTGCGTTACTTGCAGCACAAACAATACATTTCTCATGAATACGCAGAGCAGTGGGAACCTCTCATGTTACGCTAATGCCATGTTCGTAATGAGACATTCGATACTGTGAAATATTGATGCATCCAAATTGATCGCCATTGTACAGAGGAACACGCCTACAATATTTAATTGCCCTCACTTTTTAATTTGAAATTATGTAATGAAAAAATATTAATACTGACTTTGCTAGTAAGATACCCTACATGTTGTATTTAGAATGCATGACATGGTATATGTGTTTCTTGTTTTGTCGCAGTTTGTAAGTATTGGAATAGTTAATATATAAACCAATTGCTTTGATATTAATCAACGTTAACAAAGAGAACAATAGGTTACATTGATTTTGCTTACCAACCTTACCTCAAAGCATAACTCAAGATTAATTTTCATTTTAAATCTTTGTTCTAAAAAAGCTTCATAGACCTTCATAGAAAAAGGTAGCCTCCAAATAGACAATTAGCCTTTATTCAATGTATTGTAACTGTTGAACTGTTGTAAAATATGGTACCATTAGAGATAATCAGAATATTTAGAGGTACGAATAATGATTATGGTGATGATGGATACTCAACCGAACAATATTTTTTCAATTCCAGATTCAAATGGCGAACTTCAACAGATTGAATAGAATATGCCGATCAAAGACAGTCAGAGCTTCATCTTGTGAAAAAATATACGCATGGAGAAACGATATAAAAGAATTCGTTCCAATAATAAATACCACGGCACCAACTGAGAGTTCTTCTCGAAGCAATATCATGTCATTAGAAGGCAGAACCATAAAGACTTTAATAAGCAATGTAAGCAGTGTATTTAGAGTTAGTTTATTTCTATTATAATAATAATAATAATAATATTTATTTACTCAATGTACAAAGATAACAAACAATATGAGTAAATAAATATAAAATCAAAACAGCCCCAATAGAAGGCATCGCCTGTACATGGACCAATAATTTAAGTTGAAACTGTAGAATGCAAATGACAAAAAAAGGACAAAAATTAGCTACAGTAGATTATGTATTTAGTTGATGTTCGTATTTATGAGTTTATGAATTTCAGTCCTAGATATAGAATGTAGCCACTTTTTTAAATTTCTTTTGAAACAATTTCCGAAACGTAAATCTTTTAAGTTTTTAGGAATAATTTCATAAAATTTAGGCGCTAAATAGAGATATGATCGCTGCATTATAGATTTATGCGGTTGAGGAACTACTGTGCCACGAATTTTGTACCTGGTATAATAATTATGTTTAATTTTTTGGTCGGTGTTTACAAATTTATGGTAGTGAGTGATACTGTGTAAGAAATAAAGCTGTCTTATATCATACATTCGAACATCTGCATATAATTTTTCAGTGGGATAAAGTTTCGGTTTTTTAAATATCATTTTTAGAATACTTTTTTGAAAAACATCTAAATTATAGATATGTGAGGAACATGCAGCTCCCCATGCTAATATACCATATGTGAGATGAGGCTCAATCAGTGCATGGTATAATGTTCGAAGATATTTTTCTGTCAATATATTCCCAAGGTATTTAATTTTGTAGGATACAAATCTAACTTTCTTTAAAATATAATTGACATGGATGTCCCATCGTAAGTGAGGGTCCAAGACCACTCCAAGATATTTTATCTTGGGTACTCTATTAATTTGCATTTTTTGATCATTAATATTGAAGGAGAAATTTGTGTAATTTGGCAGATGTCTAGCATAAGATCCAAATGGTAAAAAATGTGTTTTAGAGTAGTTAATGCTTAATTTTCTACTGTTAAACCACCGAATAATTTTGATTAAATCATTTTCAATTACATTTTTCAGATCAGACCAGTCAGTGCCTTCATATAATATTGCAGTATCATCTGCAAAACTAGTTATTTTGCCAACACAATTAATTTGGAAAATATCATTTAAATATATATTGAATAACAGCAGACCTAAGACAGTTCCTTGTGGGACACCACACTTAATATACATTTCTTTACTAAATGATCCTGATATCTGTACAGATTGCTAGGATTTATTTGGCATTTCATAATAGCAGAACATGAAGCCAAAATTCAAAGGATGATTCTTTCTTCGTCCGTTGAGGATTTTCGAAAAACCGCTTAGCTACGAAGCAACGCTTACGTATAAAATATTAGCAAAATCGCACATAAAGCGACCCAATCTAAAAACCTGTTCATAATCCTCCTGTATGGAGAATGCAAATCTGCAATGTTAGCGTCAAAGACCGTCGAATTTTTTCAAATATACCAGAGTCGTTTTTTGTCGAATCATATTAAGCAACTATCCACTGGGGTTGTGTAAAATAGTAACTTCGAATATGCTCATACTGGAGATCC